AATAAACTACATTTATTCTTAAAGGATATTAATTTTTTTCTAAGTTAGAACATCCTATTGAAATAAGTGGACATTGTATCATTGAATGTTGACATAATTCGTAAAACTTCCAACTTTCAAAAATTAGTTCAAAGGTTTGATACTTAACCAAAATAATTCAGTTCTGAAGTTCTAGTCGTATCATTAGCTTTTCTAGAAAAATTTAAACGTTGAATTCAAATGTATAAGACTGTCATTGATAAATGAATCATACCAATTCATCTCTTTAGAGCTATAGATTAAAGTAATTATCCATTAGTGATTAAATACTTATTGCTCAACTATTCTTTCATAGGTTTTTACAAAACCCTGTTATTTGTAAAGTTGAAAACTGAAATAGTTTCAAATCAACAGCAATCTATGTACTGTTTGGTTATCTTTTTAAGATTTGACAGGTATGGCATTTAAGATTAAAACTTGCTGACCTCATAATAAAATATGTGATTTGTAACATGAAAAATCTAATTTCAGTCTATGAATCAGTATAATACTGTTTATTGCTTAAAGTTTTAATCAAATCAAACAAACTGCACATGATTAACTAATAAGTAGACATCCTTGAACTAATTTAGTACCATAAGGTAAGTTTTTGATATCAGTATAGGGGTTGTGGAGAATATTGAGTTTTTGATTGGGATCGTAAACCGATTGACTTTAGACCACCACTGAAAACCTGGAATCTCTGGACGTCCATTTCGTTCTGTTGTGGGACCCCTTAGCAGTGCTCGTCCACAATCCCGCTCTCGAGATTCGAACCCAGGACCTTCAGTCTTGCGTGCGAAAATATTTTTAATATCTCAGTGGGTAAAAAAATTCAATTTTCTGACTTTTCGCCGTGGATGACATTTCCATTAAACATCAAGTCGATATTAGAAATATCAAAATAATGCAATAACGCTTTTCCAACAACAAAGGCGAATAGTTGAAACTTTCTATGTACTGCTAAATCCTAATAACTTCAATAGAAAATGCCTTACTATTCATCCGACTTGCACTATTCATCTGAGCTACTTTATTTAATTCTATTCATATCACACACAATTATCACTTATACAAACTCAACTCCATTATTTCACACTATTAATATCACATTTTTCACACATAAGCACCCACACAAATACACAAACATGTCTCACACAAAACACTTTGACTAAAGTGACATGACACTGGCTTAGTGAGACCTACTTTTAGTTGTTAATCGTACTAAATATGTTTGCTTTGTCCATTTGTACTATTTAAACATGGGTTAATTTAATTTTTTTATTTATTCCTTGAAGAAGTGGTTTACACTGAGTCATGAAACGTCAAAACATTTAGTTTCCTTTTTTTTACTCACGAGGATAGTACAAATATATTATTTTTTTTATTAATAACAACCTACCCAGTACTTAATTTATTCGTAATCAATAAGTTAAACTTTAGTAATGATAACTATTCACTTTATCAGAATGGGTTTTGTGGAGAGTTTTTTTAGAAATTTCATAGGTTGAAATCATGAGTCGATTGAAGCTAGACCACCATGGAAAACCTGGAATCACTGGACGGCCGTTTCGTGGATGCGCACTGCTGAGGAATCCCATACTAGGACGAAACGGCCGTCCAGTGCTTCCAGGTTTTCCATGGTTGTCTAGCTTCAATCGACTCATGATTTCAACCTATAAAATATTCATTTTATATTTTTATTTAGTTCTCGAAGTAATTAGTAAAATAATTCAATATATTAACTATTTTTCTATGCATTTTATCCATAAGCTAAACAATAAACAGTCCAATCAACCGATTTATTGTGATTATAGTCTATACATTAATGTAACCGATAAGTCCATTTCCTTCTTTGATACCTTTCTCATATAATTCAATTACTCATTTCTTTTTCAATTAGGTTGGCAGTTTTTTTAAAAAAAATTAACTTTCCTTCTACGATTATTCATTAATTTGATCAACAGGAAACTGTTAAATTATTATTCTATATCAGTTTGTTAATATTCAGTTAACTTATTTCATTCCGTTTGTTATATAAATTTATGTCTTATAATTATTTAAAATCAAAACAATTGTTGACAGGATTTCTAACTGGAAATAAAATTATCATTACTGGAAAATATTCAGTTGTATAAATTCCTTGTAAAGCAAGGGCTGAATTCCTACAATTGAAGAACATATGGAACTTAAAACAACTGTCTGTCAACCAATATCAAAGTCAGAATCTTCAATACGAACATCAAGATAGTTGTACTGTACGAAGCTGAAAAGTGGAGAATTACTACAACCATCATCAAGAAGATACAAGTATTTATAAATAGCTGTCTACGCAAGATACTAAACATCCATTGGCCGGATACCATCAACAACAAACTACTGTGGGAGAGAACAAATCAACTTCCAGATGAAGAAGAAATTAGGAAAAGGCTCTGAAAGTGGATAGAATATACATTTCTGAAATCATCAAACTGTATCGCGAGGCAAGCCCTAACTTGGAATCCTGAAGGGAAGCGGAAAAGAGGAAGGCCAAAGAACACATTACGTCGGGAAATCGAAGCAGATATGAAAAGGATGAATAACATCTGGGAAGAGCTGGAACGGATTGCCTAGGACAGGTTTGGATAGAGAGTGCTGGTGGGCGGCTTATGCTTTCCCTCGAGGAGTAACAGGCGTAAGTAAGTGATTACAAATGCTTGATGAGAAGATCGAATTATCTGGAATGTATTATATCGGTCACACAGTATACATAATCAAACTTTTCACTGATATACACACTTAAAAATATTGTTTATTTACTAAATGTGAAAATAATTTCATACTTTTGATTCAGTAAAACAGTCACGCATGCAGTTAAAAAGCGTTTATTAATGAAACACGTGAAGTATTACTATAATAAATAAAATAAAACAACTTTAAAATTAATATTGTTTATAAAATTAAAACATCCTAGAAATTATCCTGAAAAATCCATTGTGAAAGCCGTTCAAAAGATACGTAAATTCAAACAATTGACGTAATTTTAAGGTCCGTAGAAATAGTTTACTGCCACTCAGTAAAATCAATAAAAATGAATCAACAGTGGATAACTATTTTGTTCTAGTCTTCCAAGAACCCTAAACACATAACCTAATATGATGTCGAACCTAAAGACCTAATAATTTACTATAAAGAAGATCTGTTTGAGATGACATGATTTGTAGCTCAGGTGGATGATTTTTATAGAGTTTTGTTCTCTGAGCTGGATAGTTTGGTCGTGGAGCACTCATCGTTCTTCTGAACGATATCATCAGCACAAACTTCAGGAAAAAGTTTATGATCCATCAAAAAGATCTGTTTGAAACAATTAATTAAAATCTGAAATTTCAGAATTTTTAGCTCTCATATCATTTACTCTAGTCAAAACAGGAACTCAAGAAAAAAATTGCAAATCACTTTTCAGGTTACAAGTACATGTTACTGACAAATTTAAAACCAAAATGAAATAACTCATAGGCAGCCAATGACTTTTTTTGTAGTCGTACTGTTGATATTACTTAGTGATGAAAATTTCCCTTCAGTTACGTTTATCGGAAATGATTCATTAAAATAAGGAAATGAAAATCTAAGTTTTAAATAGTATACAAAAAAATAGTAACAATAAACTGTACAATCTTTATTTCACTACACTGCCTTAAGTTAATTTCATAAGTTTCCATGAATTCTTACATAAAATTTGTGCATTAATTTTACGTAATCCGATCTAATCAAGTTAAGGTGTAATAAAAACAACAAAAATCATATTGAATTCATCTCTAGAAAATCGAACTCTTGGTAACCATTAATCAAGGTTATAGAAAATTATCTGAGTAAAAGTAATTGAAAAATTCTATCACATTTAGAATATTCTTTTCATATAAATGAATTAGTGATAATAATACTGGTTATATTTATACTATTACAGATACTTCACACAATTTAAGTATTTTTGTATATTGAAAATAATTATTTCAATAGTTGAGGTCGTGAGTCAATTGAAGCTAGACCACCATGGAAAACCTGGAAGCACTGGACGGCCGTTTTGTCCTATTGTGGGATTAGTATCAGGAGGAGTTTTGTGGAGATTGAAATTACTACAATCTCCACAAAACACTCTTCTGATTATAATCAACATATGCTCACTAGTAACTGGCTTCAAGAGATATTTTCTAAACTTCTAGTGAGAAGCAGTGACCAGTGGAGTTCAATCAGGTCTGTTGGGAGATAGTAACTCACTGATGACAATGGTGGATTAGTTGGAGTTAGAGATTAACAATGTTGGATGTCGGCCGTGTCAGTGGTCTAGTGGTTAAGCACTCGCGCACGAGACTGACAGGTCGTGTGTTCGAATATCGCGGGAGGGGGGCGAGATTGTGGATTCGCACTGTTAAGGAGTCTCAATCTAAGACAAAACGGCCGTCCACTGCTTCCAGATCTTCCATGTTGCTTTACCTTCAATTGACTCATGATCTCAACTATTAAAATTACTGTAATCTTCACAAAACCCCTTCTGAAAATAATTATATAAAGTAATATTTTAATTGAATGTTGATTCTCTATATTTTACAAAATGTACACAGAACACAAATGAAATATAATACTCTATCAAATTAATCATCAATATTATAGAAAATAAGCGGGTTTTTTCTCAAATTTAATTATCAACAAATAGAAAACAATCAATTTAGAATGTAACATAACTAAATTTTAATTATTTTGTTTTTTTATTCTAAATTTATTTTTATTTAATTAATTTTAAAAATTTTACAATTGGATAAAAGACAACACTATAATGCATAACTATCCCCCCTTCACATTGATTTATGAACCAATCAAAAAAATGCTATATATTAAAGCTTTCGTTTGTTAAACGAACAATATTTTACTATACGTCTTTAGCCAATTGCTTATTTAACCATTCAATTATATATGTCTACATCCTCTTACTTAGATTATACCTATGATGTAATAATTAGCCTTTGTTTGTATAACTGTTAGTATCACAGCCTTGTAAAAAGGTCTGTCACCAATGCTACCAAAACTGTTATTAACACTACTAACCCCTTTTATATCATAATTATATTGGTTCCGGCTAAGACCAATATTAATATAAGATATATATATACCAAACTAAGTCTATATAACAATTTTCTAGTGTAAAAATTAAATTCAGCTCAAAACGAATCAGTTATATTATTTAGAGTAACTAGACTTTTAAAAGAATATGAAAATGTAAGTCTGGTACAAATATTACTCTTCATTTTTATTATTTATTCTACTGGTTATCATTATAGTAGTTTAATGGAGATGATAAAATTTCCATAGTTTACATCATTCAATCTCAGATGATATTGTGATTAGATATTGCCAAGGAGTTCTCTACTTGAACTAAATATCTATTCAGTACTTCTGGAGTTTAACCGATTATTTACGTAAGATATATGGATGATATAAACTGTAATTATTCTAATAGTTATTGGTTTAAAAGTTTAATGATATTCCAAGGTATTATAGAATGTGAATATTACTTATTCATATATTAAATAGAATAGCAAGAATTATTACGTAATTTTTGTTAAATTTTGTGTAAAGAAAATTTTGGGAATGTTCTACTTTATATCTTTATACTCTTTAGCTTAAAATGTGGTAATGTTAATATTTCATGTGGAACTGACAAACAAATGACAGACAAAATATCTAAATAATATGAAGTATAATAATTGTGAATTAACATGTAAACTATTCAGATGTAATCAAATTGTAGATAGATTTGCTTGTCTAAATTTGTACATGGATAGTTAATGTAGAGTTTTTCTTAAAAATAAAAGGCTTAGATTGAGTTCGATTGATTTAAACATTGACAAGAATTTTTAAACAAAGATGGATAGTAACCAGTACTGGAATCTAGGATGCGCGTTTCGTCCAATTGAAGTGACAAGACTAATTACAGGCTTGCTGAATAGAATGATTTATTTGTACTTTTAATTATGAAATTTTGACGATATTCGTAAAAGAATCTAAAATCATGATCGAAAAAATTCGGCTATAAAATTTATCAATAAATATGATTAATGGTGATACGTACTTATGCGTTGAAAATAATAATAATAATAATAATAATAATAATTAAGAATCATAGTTACGAAAGTAAAAATAATAACAATACAGAATACAAAAGGGTTAATTTGTAGTTGCTAATAAGAATATTTATGAAGAAAGGTTATGTATTTGTGATTAACATGATAAGCACTTGTGTAATTACTCAACTTTTCTAAAACCAAAATCATATTAATGTGAGATTGACTAGATTATGTTACAGGTAAATAATGAACTTGAAATGTAAGAATATCATAAAAAGTGTTATTAGACTACATTTATAAACAAAATGACAGAGAAAGGGTTATTACGCTTTTTTTCTGCACTCAAAGCTTAGACCGAAAGCGTTTGATAGCAGTTGTCACTTCAAAACTGAATAAAACGAAACGGTCATTGTTTATTATTATGAAATAATGACGGACACTAAATCTGTGTCAACTATATTCTAAGTGCATAGCGACTGTAGAAACTTTACTGCCTTTCGGAAATAGATTCTTAGGAACTTATTCGAAAAACGTAGTAGTAGCCCTTCTCTCTGTACTTCCAATAATATTGATTTCATATGTACACGTAAATTTAAACTGCTTTATAAATTTCATCTATTTCATTCCTACACATATTACGCAACCGCTCATACTTTTAGTAAACATAAGATGCCAAAATTAATGGATGAAATATCATATTTTAACTGTTATTGGCATAACGAATATGTAATTATAGTTGTTGGTAAAAATTATTATTGTATATATATACATATGGTTAGATGGTAAATCTATAAAATCTATTTCATTATTCAAAATCATACTGATATTTCTAAGAATATAAACATTGAAAATAATAGAAAGGTAGTAGTTTGAGAAATGTCAACCTCGTCTGCTAACAGAAATGATAAAATCGATATGATCTCCAAGAACATTATACATTAAAAATTAATCAGTTATTAAAACAGTGATCAAATCGATTAGAGGATTTAGTTCAGTAGATAATTCTTAGCGCAGATCGACCTGCTTAATATGAAACTGGATGGACGTACTTTTTTGACAACGATATTTTTCATAAGTGTTTGTCTATTATCTTTCATGAGATCTTTATTGAGACCTTTACATTATCTTATTATGTATTTCATTTTACGTAAGTAGGTAAGTACGTTAAATCAGACTTATGTTTTACCGATATTATTATGCAGTAAGTCATTTATAACTTCAAAACGATTCCATGTCACGAAATATTGGAATATGAGTTTCACTAATCCCAAGCAGCTTAAGGTTGTATCTCCTCATTTCTGCAGCGATTTGGAAGACTCTCCCGGTCTCCCACATTGTACGAGTATTCCATGTACCTAAATAAATGGTTGCTCTGTTTGTCAGAAGAGGCATCAGCCTCGTGACTTACGAAGGAACTTGGCTTTTATCATGAGGCATCATAACTCTTCTAAATGAAGACCTTCTGGATCCGAGGGCAGAGTTTAAAAGGTTTGAATAATTCTTTTCTGGTTAGCGCTTTTTTAGAGAGTTAGTTTTCCACGGGATGGGGTCGCCAACCCCATGCCCAACCCTCCTCCTTTATCCGGGCTTGAGACTGGCAGTAGCCCTCGGAGGGACTCCAGACGGTGTTAAATATTGGAATATATTTCATCTAAATACTAAACATTTAATAATGATGTAATAAGGTAACGTTTATTAAGATATATACATTTATTACATACCACTACAAATGAAAAATAAAATAATCCTTCTTAGTTTTTAGCTGTTCAAATCTTGTACTACTGATTATCGAGCTTAAATCGATAAATTTAAAAAACGCCGTTGATTCATTCGCCTGGAAATTTAAAAGTAAACATTGAACACAATAATTTAATCAAGTGTAAATTCTTTATAAATTACATTCAAATCAATTGTTCACATTGTATTCATTTTTATTATCCTTAGTCTAGAAAACGTTCTTTACATGGACAGTTTTCATAATTTTTTCATTTGGATTGAACGTTTTTATAGTATGATGTTAGAAACATTTAAAAGAAGCTTTTTTCACTTCATTTATTATCACATGAAAATACCGTTGTATGCAACTGACTACGTTTAGTTTGTGTGTTGATTAACGTTTTTTTTTGTTGGGAATAATAATTACTAGACTTGGATTATTAGACTGATTGTGATGATAGAAAAGAAAGTTGACAAAGTTTTCGTAATTGATTCATATTAGTACTAGATTTATGATGATAATTTCAAAAAAAAACAAGCCTGAGATACTGTTACATGCCACAATAATATTATAGGGATTTATAAGGACCAAATCTATATATTAAGTAAACAAAGGAGAATTATTGTTGACAAGTGATTATATTTAAACATATGTTCAGTTATGAAACTAAGTAAAACTATATTTGAAAGAAACTAAATTTTATGCCGAATTCTATTGGAGAATAATGGACTTTTCGAAGTTCATTTATTAACGTCTAATATTTCTTGGTTGCATGTAATTCCTAGTTGAAATATTAATCAAATTGCTTTAATTGTGCACAATCTAAAGTTTGCTAATAAGGAAAACATCAATGTGTTGTGGTGTGTGCTACTTATATTGACATAAGTAGTAGATGATGTTAGTCGTGAACAGAACGTCTGGTAGCAGAGAGACAAGAAGATTGAACAGTAAAGAATGGGAACAGAATGCAATTTGTATGGAAATGCAAGAACAATGAAGTCTGAGTCATCATGAAACAATTTATGGACATTTTGCAAATTATTTATTTACTATTTGATTGTTAGATTTTATCAACAAGTCCTTTAATTTTGTGTCAAATACATTCGATTGTCCCAACTCGTGTTCTGTTCACTACAGTTCTATTGTTTATATATAATTTAAAATGTAGTAACCGGTTTATAAGATTGTGTATCCTTTACGCTTTATTGAAGCGTATGGTGACTGGAAGTAGCTCATATGGGACTTTGTCGGTGTATATATATATATCTGGTAGATTAGGCTTTGTTGTAGAATCAATTATTAGTTTTATGACGAATATTGTGTTATATATACTTAAATGAAACAATAAAAATTTATTTCATTTATTCAAAATTGTTGCTTTCCTGCACAAATACTTACGTACAACATATAATTCACAGTGTTTTAATACACTAGTAATCAGAGTTGAATTTAAATAAATAAGAAAATGTAAAATATTGTGTAGAGTTCAAAACCAAATCAAGCATAAAAGAAAATACAAACAGGAAAAAGTAAACTACATTTGGTTCTAGTTTGATAATTACATAAAACTAAAATCCATACATTTTCTAGTCTTTATTATATGAGTCTTTATATCTATCTTAATTATCTTTGAATATATATCTATAAGAGTAGCTGTCGTCATATAAAAGTTTCATTAACTACCAAGTGAAATGTGAATATCTTTCCCCCTATTCTTAAGTTGTTACTAAGATATTTAAATATTCATTATACTATTGAAATAAATCAAAATTTGTTACCCTTAAGAATATTTCACATATTTTCTCTTTATATAATGCCGAATGATTTATAACTCATTAGAGAATTATTTAAAAGTTATAAACATAATAAATAATTCATTACTATGAATATAATTTTCCCTTAAAAAAGTACACATACTTTTATCTTGCAAGTGTTACTTATAACTTAAATAGAAAAACAATAAGCCAGTAAAGCCTATAATGAATATGTATATTTTTGACTTAAGTTGAAGTAATCCTTATGAATTCGTCGTCATAATTTGTCATTATTTAATTTAGCGTATTTACTTCCTATCTTATCTCACTACCCTACAAATATCATCTATTTAACGTTATTTCATTTAATAGTATTACTAAACTTACCAATCATTCTATTCACACTATAGAATTGACATAACTAACACTACAAATATATATATATATATCATTGTCAGTATTTTTCTAATAATCCAAATGGATCTAAGTAAAAACATTGTCAGTATCAATGATAACTATAAGTAAAAAAAAACAGTACATCATAATCATTCTACTTTTTTAGTTAACTATGAATAAGTTATCATTAAAAAAAGTATAAGTAGTATATAAGTTAGAAGTATAAATAATAATCAATCTAATTGACTTTCATAAACTATTTATTTGTTTGATAGAAATAAATTT